GAGTGATGTGTTCTGTGATCAGGGGGCTTCATTCAGATCTTTTTCACTCAAAGCTCTGGAAACTGCTGTTCAGATTGTGTAAACTAGTCTGTCTGTTTACTGCTTTTCTTTTAAAATTTCTTTTTTACTGATCAAAGAGAAACCAAAGTATTATCTTACTAAATATTTTGCCACAGTTACTTGAATTTTTATTTGAAAAATTTGACAATTAAAATGGTAGAAAGTTTATTTTAAAACATAGAAAAAGTTTCTTTTATTAGTTTGTACTGTGTTTGTTAAAAATGGGGTTGTGGTTTAAAAGGAAGATAGATTTGTTTGCTGCTCTTTATACTGTAGGTTTTATGATACATGAGTTTTCTTTTACCAGGGAAATTTTAGATTAGATATAAGCTTATGTTATTATATATGTGCATAAATTCTAATTTTTATTTTGTGGTCATTGATTTCAGAGTATATTGTGGCTTTCAATGGATACTTTACAGCCAAAGCTAGAAATTCATTTATTTCAAGTGCCCTGAAGAGCAGTGAAATAGACAACTGGAGAATTATACCTCGAAACAATCCATCCAGTGACTACCCCAGTGATTTTGAAGTGATTCAGATAAGAGAAAAACAGAAAGCGGGGCTGCTGACACTTGAAGATCATCCAAACATCAAGCGGGTAACACCCCAGCGGAAGGTTTTTCGTTCCCTCAAGTACACGGAGTGTGAGTACTGTGACCGTGGGTGGGTCTATATTGGTGTCTGCTTCGCTCAGAAGAGAGGGAGGATATCCACAGTCACACGTGATGTGCTCCCCCTCCACATTCTGCCGCCTGCTTTTGTTTTGAAAATATTCAAACTGACATTATTTGAAAAATAGTAGAGCGACTACCCTGTCCCTTCACTTAGTTTCGTTAGTCGTGAACATTTTGTTGGCAGGAATTTAAAAAATAAAAAAGACACTTCATGCTTCTGATAGAAAAAAACCTGAGAGTTTGCAGTAGAGGATGACAGTGATCTTTGTTCTGTGGGAAGTGATTTTCACTCAGGTTCCTCTCCGAACCTTCAGGCTTTGAGGCTGTGATGCCCCTTTGCGCTCTGAAATTTAGGTGATGTCTTTGATTCTCCTTTTTACTTGCATTCTGCTTTCAGTATGTGTTTTTGGTTTTTTACGGTATCTTGCAGAATGTCTTTTCCTTGCATTTCATTTTGCTTTTCTCACAGTCTCTTGACCATGCAGGGTCAGGCCTTGGCTGGGCTTAAGTCGTAAGCTGTGCAGGTACGAGGATGGAAGAGATTTGACAATTCTCTTCTGATCAAGGTTTATTCTTTCCTGCTTCCTTAGAACTTGGGCCTGTCAAGATAAGTTTACCATCAAACAACAGATTGCATATTTATTAAATAAGATTTCAAAGCAAGTGTATTACCAAAGGAAAGGTTTTTTTCCCTACTTGTCATAAACTGGGGTAAGAAATTGCTGGTTCAATTATCATTTAGTATCATTTCTTTCATTGGAAGGAAGAAGAAATAAAATTTTGCTTTTCTTTTCTTATGTCTGTCATATACTAGGCCTGAGAGCCTCTGAGGTTTAAAAAACACCTAGAGGAAAAGCTTAACTGATTTGCATATATGAAATTCTCGAGTCAGCTGTGGAATTCAGGTTTCTGACTTCTTCAGAGCTCTTTCTGCTAGTCCAGATGTTTCATGGTGCTTTTTCTCTTTGAAAAGCGATAACCTCAGAACAGTCCAGGAAGCTAAAAAGAAATCAAACCTTGTACAATTAGCCAAATATATACATTGTGCCTTTTTTTTTCTCTTAATCTTAAAGAGCTCCAGCATATTTTAGGAAACATGGAAATGCCTGATTTTAGCACAGGAAACATAGAATCTCATGGTTGGGGTTCTTTTCCATATAGTCTCCACCTTGGTAGCTAAATGCTGTGCTCGACACTCCGTAGTACACCTCTGACAGGCCCAGTCTCTCTTGTTGTTAAGCAGCTTTTTTTAAGTTTTGACTCTTCTCCAAAAATGGGAGATATTACTGCCTACTGCAAAGTCCTTGCAAAGATAAAAGGAAATATGCCTGTGAAGAGAGCTGAGTAGAGTTCTTAAGCTGTTGTGAGCAGGCATTTAGTGTTTGTCATGTCTGTGGCTCTCTTGTTAGGAGGCTTTGCTTTATTTGGGGTTGAAACCTGTCACACTCTGGATCCCATCTGTCTCTGGCTCTGGCCATGGTCCATAAGACAGAGCTAACCTGAATTCCACAAGACGGTACTTATAGGGATCTTGAGGATATCCTTGGTGTCCCCTGTGACCGTTTGTTCTCTGCAGGGTAATAAAAATCTCCAGTTCCTTCAGTGGTTACTCATATGACCTGGCTTCAAGACCCCCACCATTTTAATTGCTTTCCTTCGAGTACTCTCCATTTCTTCTGCAATGAGTGAAGCCAGAACTGAATTTAGTCCTTCAGGTGTAGTGTGTTCTGCTCCCGGTAAAGCAGAACAGACCCCTCCTTTGTTCTGAGTATTGTTCTTCCATTACGGCCTCCTGTATTGTCCCAGGCTGTTGACTGAAGGAACAAAATCAACATGGGAGGTTCAGGACAGAATAATTTCAGTTGCACTGTGCAAATAGTTACCTGTTGGAATTGACATGACTGTATTTTTCCAGGTCCCTGTAACTTTACTGGGTGTAGGCTGGTGAGACTGGAATTAAAACAATAGTAATTTGCTTTAGAAACGGAAACTCAGTACTATTACAGATGTGCCCTTTAGAGACTGATTCGAAATACGATTTTTTTCTTCATTGTAGCATGGTTTTTGAAAGGTAAGGGGACAACACTTCTGATATTTCTTTTACTTTTCTCTTCCATTGAAAAAAAGTAAAGTACACATAGTAAGCCTCATGCTTTTAGTGCACAGTTTGGCAAATTTTGATAACAGTGTGCTGTCAGGTACCTACGAATAAAATCAAGATATAACATAATTCCAACCCCCTCAGAAATTCCCTCCAAGTCCTTTGTAATCATTCTGCTTTTTGAAAGGTGACATTCTAGTAGATAAGCATGGTGGAAACACTGAGTAGTACATGCTAAGAAAAAGGCCATGTTGGTGTTTGGTCGGAGCTAGGTGTCAAGGGATCACAGCTTTTTCCTATCCAGAAATCCACGCTGAAAGCTGTAAAACTTCACCATTGGTTACTGGATATTTTCTTCAGCAATACCTCCCCCACTTCTGGTTCAGTGAGAACAAATTGCTGATGAAAAATCAGGCATTTCTTCAATTTTAATATCATTGACTTTATTTCTTTAAAAATGATTATTTTATCAGACTGCCTGCCTTACATTGGTTAAAAAATTCCAGGTAGAGAACTATTTGGGAATAATGTGATGGTAAATATAGCTGTGTTGAGAAATTCCTTCTCACAAACGGGAGAGAATATCGCTTTCCTTCGGAGGGTATTTCAGAGGGAGCCACTGCGCTCACTGTTTGAATGGCTATTTCCTGACAGGTGTCCTGTCCTTTGTGTTTTTTCTCTTCTGATCGTTCTCTTCCCTGGCTCTAGCTGACCCCGCTGTGCCCTGTAATGAGACCCGCTGGAGCCAGAAGTGGCAGTCGTCCCGTCCCCTGCGCAGAGCCAGTCTCTCCCTGGGCTCTGGCTTCTGGCATGCCACCGGCAGGCACTCCAGTCGGCGGCTGCTGCGAGCCATCCCGCGCCAGGTCGCGCAGACCCTGCAGGCGGACGTGCTTTGGCAGATGGGATACACAGGTGTGTACTGTCAACCTAGAAGCAGCGGAGGGGCTGGGGCCAGGTGGCCACACACGTCTGTCCTCCTGTCTGTTGAGCTGGACACAGTCCGCTGCTCCTGTTATGCTGGGCATCTGTTTCTGTGGCTTTTCTAATTGTTTAATCCTTCTCACTTTCTGTGTTTGATTTTCCTGTACCGTTTCTGAGGTTAGAAGGGGTAGATTGTGGAGTGTTTCTTTCCTGTCGACACGTGTGCACAAACACTGCGCTGCCCACAGCAGAGCTGACTGGCAGTCCAGTGAAGCTCTGTGATTTCCCAGGGAACAGGATCCCTCCCGTGTGAAGCCCTGTGTGCAGAACGGCTAGGTGACTGTCACTATTGTTACCTTTTGCATCAGAATAGGAAACAGTATTAGTAACTATATCCTGGGAAATACAGCTCATATGCAACAAATCAGATTTTTTTCTTACTGATTCATGGTGGCAAAAAATTCCTGTGAAGGTTTGGACCCTGACTTTGAAATGTCAGCCTGTGTCTTCAGCACCCCGTACATCACGGTTTGCCTAGTCTTTCCGTTCCTCCTTGGCTTAGAGACCCTTACCTTAGAGAACCAAAGACCTTTCTGCTACTTAAACTTAACACCTGGTGGACTGCCACTTTATTAAATGGTTGTCTTCTTTTGGTTTATGTTTTTAGGGCAAAAACTTCACAGAACAGAAATTCTCTAATGCTCAGAAAAGCATTTTTTGTTCCCCCCAAACCAACTAGTTTCCAATATTGTGTGCACATCTTTAAAAAGTAAACAATACATTTTGGTGACTATTTCAGTGTAGTTGATTATTTAACACAGTATTGACACATACAGAACTCTTCTACTGGAGAGGCATTCCCTTCATTACTTCTGTTAGCCTCTCAGTAATATGAGTATCTTGTAGTTTTTTCTGCATGTTTTCTAGAATTGCTTGATCTGACAGCATCAGTTGTATTTCATGTTGGTGTAGATGGTTTTTAGCTAGTATCTAAAGTAGACTTGATACTATAGAAAAGTGTGTAATATAGTGGTTTTCCTTAAAGTGGGGTTTCCCTGCTTGTGGTGGACAGCCCCTCTGCAGAGTTCGTTGTCATTAGTGAGCGGGACTGAGTAAGACTTTGACCTGGTCAGAGGTAGGAATGTGCCCCACCCTGCCCCCGTGGGTGAGTGCTGTGTGCGTGTTCCTCACCCAGGAATCTCTCTAAGGAGATGAAGGGTTGGAGACCTGGAGAAAATTACCAGAAGGGGAAAATCAGTCATGGGTGGAAGACTGGGGAGAAGGCGGTTCCGCTCCTAAGCATGGGTGACAGTTGAGGGGGGTCCAGAGAGATATTCTGTTTGTCCTCAGGTCTTAGCAGCAAGTGACGGCAGTCTCCAGCTGCGCCCTGTCCTTAGTCTCGGCCCAGCCGGGACCCTGGGCATCTGACGTCACGTGTGCACTCTGGATGAGCGTTGGCCCTAGATCATGTGTCATTCTCTGTGGGTTCTAAGGAGGGTTGTATTTTATAGACAGAAACCCAAAAAGATGATTTCTCCAAACCTGATTTTGCTTGCTTGCTTTTTGGAATTAGGTGCTAACGTAAGGGTTGCTGTTTTTGACACTGGGCTAAGTGAGAAGCATCCCCACTTCAAAAACGTGAAGGAGAGAACCAACTGGACCAATGAGCGAACGCTGGACGACGGTGGGTGGCTGATGCTGGGAGAACCCGAGGCGGGTGTTTTTTGTTCACTTGTGGGCTTTGCATCACTCCATCCTGTTTGATCAGCTCAGAGGGTATTTTTCTGTGTGTTAATGATTAAACAGTCCCTGCACAACAGTTATTCAGACAGACCCAATGTTTTGTGCCTTCCGCAGAAGCTTTTCTGCACATCTCTGAGGAGGTTGGGAGGTGAGTTTGAGGAGACAGTCCTGGTGGAGGGGCACCTCCCTGTGGGGAACAGAGCGGGATGTGGGGCTGGCAGAGTGGGGCTCTGAGCAAGGGCAGTGGAGAGGTGAGAGGGTTCTGGGTCTCAGACTCGGGGGAGGAGTCCGCTTGAATGGATGGAGTGAAATGCTGCATCTTGGCACACACTGGCAGCTGTATTTCATGTCTGTTTTCCTTTTGGGCAGCAGGACTGGGCCATGGCACGTTCGTGGCGGGTGTGATAGCCAGCATGAGGGAGTGCCAGGGGTTCGCTCCCGATGCAGAGCTTCACATCTTCAGGGTCTTTACCAACAACCAGGTAGGTGTTTTGAGCACTTGTGAAACTTGATGAATTGATGTTAAAATGTAAAAAATAAAAACTAAAGAACATATACTGGTTTAAAAGCAGCAGACATCAGTGATGCTGCGTGCTGTTGGCGTCCCTCATGTGCCTTGCCATCTCCCCTCTGTCTCTCCTGTGTGGCTCCCCGCCCCCTTCACTGGCCTCCCTGGAACCTGAGGACCCTGCTTCAAGGCACTGCGCATGGGGATCCCTTGGGTTCCACGTCTTGTTCTCCGGTGGGCTGGCCCGAGACTCCTATGCACCGCGACTGGGCACAGCTTGAGCGCTGTTTCCTGGAGGGAGTGATCACACGTGTGTGTGTTTGCCGCCCCTGCTGGGCTGACCACCTTGAGCCCAGCACCTGGCATCATGTTGGTTAACATGGGCTTACAAGCTTGTTCCCTCCCTCTGTATTGGAAACACTATTGAAAAGGGGGAGGATCCTAGTATTTATTAATTTTTAAAATTTAATTTTTGTGTGGGGAATAACACAGTTCAAAGTTAGCAAGAGGCAGCGTGGGGAGAATTCTCCCATCCCTGCCCCTATCCCGCCGGCTCTTCCCTCACTTCCCCTCCCCTGTGATTGTTTCTTATTTCCTTATCCCCTCTCCTCCCGGAATTTCTTTTGTATATTCAGACAAATATAAATACATTGACTTTTAAAAGCCTTTAAAGATAATTCTTAATCGTTATACTGACTTTTTCCCCTGTAAATTTAATTTTGTATTTTATAAAAATACCTAAATGGCAATACACAAAGTAGATTAACTTTTGTAAGGAAACTATGAGAGAAGTAATAACTATTAGTGAAATAATTCTATAAAATAACTTTCATTGCTGCCATTTATCCTTCAGTGTACTTAGGAATAAAGAATATTAGACAAATACATTAAATGGTTTAGAAACACTTAATAGGTGTGTCTTAGGACAAGTCGTTTTACAAGAGGGGCAGTGGGAAGTTTGGGGTCTTCCCTCGGAAGGAAGGAGCTGGACTGTAGACCTGGAGGGATGGGACTCTCAGCACATCACCCCTCCCTGGAGTCCAGCTCCAAGGACCTAGAAGTAGTGGGTGTAGAAGTTTACATCTCAGAGCATTGTTTGTTCTTGGAATTTATTTCTGAAGTTTGAGTGACTCATGCTGCTAAGACTCTAGCATTTGGAGACATTCGTTACAATACCTAATGGACTGTTTTCAATGAACCAGGTCTCCTACACGTCCTGGTTCCTGGATGCCTTCAACTATGCCATCCTCAAGAAGATCGACGTTCTGAACCTGAGCATTGGCGGCCCTGACTTCATGGACCACCCCTTCGTTGACAAGGTCGGTCTCGCCCTTGACAGGAAGACCTTGCGTTCTGTGACGGCTCCTGCTCTTTCTCGTGCCTCCACTTGGCTTCGTGTCTGATGTGCTTGTGGCTTGTTACGCACGTGGTGACTGCTTTGTGAGGATGTGAGCTGTAGTGACTGGCGTGGGAAGCAGCACACAGTGCCTGAGTGGTTCCTTCTTGTCTGAACACGTGACCTGTCTTTTCTGGCCATGCCTGAAAAGCTTGAGCCTGCTCCGTGCGAACCCCTGTCTGAATCTATCACCTCTGGACAGACTGGCTATCAAATGTAGCACGTCTGTAGTGGCCTGGTGTTGCATTTTCAGGTTTTAGTTCTCTTTTTAGGTTATTTTTGGACAACGGTATGTTGACTGTTTAGAAGTGGCAGACTTCCATAAATAAATGCTTGCTAATCTTATAGGTGTGGGAGTTAACGGCTAACAACGTCATCATGGTTTCTGCTATCGGCAACGATGGGCCTCTTTATGGGTAAGTAGCCCTAATAGGATTGGCCTTAGAGGTATTTTTTTCCTTGAAGAAACTGAAAAACTGTTGTCTGTCTGTGTGTCTATCTGTACCTGTGTGTATCTATCTAAAACTTTGTTCTGTGGAAAATTCCAGCTCACACACAAAAGACTTTGTAATGAATCTCATGTACCCATCACTCACTCCAGCAGTTGTTAACTTGAAGCCAGTCTTGTTTCTGTTTAATTTTTTTTTCACTTTGCTGTGAATAGCAATTTGGAGGCCTGAAGTTTTTTTTACTCTTTCTACCCCCAAAATCAATCAGGAAGGTAAATGTGTTAGAAATAAATGGAATTCCATGGTATTTATTGAGACCCACAGAGCACAAGGCATAGGGGTGAAGAAGTAAACAAGGCATAGGGGTGAAGAAGTAAACAAGGTGCCTTTTTAGGAAGAATACGACGCAGACACAACAAAACTACGATGAGGAGGGAGCGCAGGGCATGACAGACATGGACTGTGTTTGGGGTTGATGAGAAGCACTAGAGGACAGTGGCACAGAACTGTTCCTTCCTGCTGGGCTGTTATGGTGAATTAAAGCAGCAGGAGTTACAGGACATTAGTTACTGAATCATAGGCAAGCCTCTGTCTAATTAGAGATCCCAGTTTTCTGTCTACCCGCAGCTCCAGTTATTATTCTGTAGATGATGTATAAATGATCTCTTGTGCTGAAACACTTTTGCAGTGGGATGTCTGTCACCATTCTTTACTGGGCATCTGAAATTGTGGTTCAGTGCTACAGCAGAGGGTTTGAGGGAACCGTAAAGGCTTCAAGAAGAGAAAATACAGAGCCTGCCCTCAGCGTACCCTGGTCCATAGAAGGAGAGATGCGTGTGCTCCCTCCTAGGCGCGCACCCACGGCACACCCCACAGGGGCACACGCTCTGTCTTACAGTAACATCCTAGGGGAGCAGGCAGTCTGAGGGACAGAGGGAGCTTATGTAGCAGGGTCTAGGGTGTAGGGTTAGGGTGAACTCTATGAAATCAGTGTGTTTATAGGTCAGAACCTATGCATATTGGTAGCCATGGTTCCAGCCTAATAATTGTTTGGTCAGTGACCTGTCTCTTCATAGGGGTCCAAACTTAGGGATCTTGCAGGGTCCTTAGTCTTGTGTGTTGTGACTCATGGGGGAAATTGGTATAAATGTGCCCTAACTACGATTCTGCCACACATAAAATTCAGTTATTAAGTAATCTCATCACATGTTCTTGTTCTTTCTAAAGCTTCTCCTGTTTGCCTCTCCCTCATTTCTGACGTCTCTGCTCAAGGCCAGCCCTAGTCAGCTCAGCATCCCTGCGTCACCTGTCAGTTTCGTAGCCCATCCTCCTGCCTTCAGTCTTTCCCACCCCAGCTCTTCCTGCACCGGTGACGAGGGACTGTGGGGAGTGGGGAGGCACAGGACTGGAGCCAGACAAGTCAGGCTGTGGGACCTTTGCTTCTCTGGGGCCTGGCCATCTGTGGGGGCCGCCAGAACCACCCAGGGCCTCCTGTGAGGATAAAATTAGACCGCAGAGGGAAAGCCGTGAATACCCAGCTTCTGTAAGTGGTGGCTGTACTTTTTCCTTTCTTTTTTGTGTGTTTCTGCTGTTAAAACATAGCAGAGTGGTTTTCTTAATTAAGGATCTGCTGTGGACCATGATTGCCTGATCAAATTTAAATTTTTCTCCATGGTTTTCAAGGTCCTCAGTATTGTAGCCTGGAGTCAGCATACTTTTTCTGTAAAGGATCAGGTAGTAAATAATTTAGTCTTAGCGGGTCATGTGGTGTTTGTTGCAACCAGTCACCTCTGTAGTGTGACAGCAGCAGGGACGTGTGCGAATGGACAGGTGTGGCTGTGTTCCCAGAACACTATTTACAAAACCAAGTGAGGGCATGACAGCAGTAGCCTGATGCTCCGGACTCGGCCTCCCCTCACCTCCCCGCCTGCGTCTTCCTCAGGTTGGACTCTCCCCCTGGAAACCAGGCTTCTCCATCTCCATCATCACCACCACCCCTACACTGCTGCTGGCCCTCCTGGCTTACCTTTCGTTCCCGTCACACCAGCTCTTTCACATGCCATTCTGGCTGAAATCCTGTGACTTCTGTGAGCAGTCACACTTGGTGGCTTCTAATCAAAGAGTCGCTCATGTGGTTGCGTTAGAGAGAGTCCCAGGAGGGGAAGCCCCCAGGTCAGGCTCGTGTATGTTCACAAAGCCTGTGGAGATCGGGCAGCTGCCAGCTGCTTTGTGGGGCGAGAGTGTCTCAGTCACCACGGCCGAGTGTGTGCGGCGTGGCTTCCTGCCTGGGCGTCGGATAGGGCTGGTCAGGTGACCGTAACGCACTCACAGAGCCCGGTTGTTGATCATAGACAGTGCTGACACTCTGGGGGCAATGCTCGTGTCACCGTTGACACCCCTTGCTGGAAGCTCTCTGGGTCTTGCACCCTGGACACTTAGACTTCACAGTGCCAGGGAGTCTGCGGCTGTGGTTCCCTCTTTGCAGCACCAGCAAAGATTTTTTTCATGTTTTCCCTTATGTTTTAAAGGCTTAAAGCACACTGAGTAGAGGGACTGGCAAGTAGAGAGAGGGTGGGAAGGTGGCATGTTTTTGTATCAGCTTCAGTGGGAAATTCTGTCAGTGACTGTGTCCTCATCTCAGCTATTTGATTTCATAGAAATTTATATACTTTTAATGTCAGCCAATGAAAAAGTCACTGTTGGTACCCTGGACAACCCTCTGGTAGCATGTTGGTAGCCAGTGAGCTAAGGAGTCAGTGCCAGGGTCGACTCAGTGTGGTTTAGAACAGTAGAAACTTGCTACTAAAATCACTTAAGCCACTTGGGATCAGTGGTGGTTAAAGGGGCTGGTTTTTGGGTATTGGAGCTGTGGTAGATAAAGCCCAGGAAGTTTCATAACTGGTTGTTCTATACTTTCATCTAGTTCAACTTCACCTTGATTTGTATGTTGACTTTGTAGTTTAAACTTTTTTGTCATTATTCATATCCCCATCATTTCTTTGCAGATCTAGTGCCCTTGAGGTATTGGGGAGAGTTGCATGGTTTTTCCTTTGCATCCAGGCCTTCCCTCTGAGGAGCTCTGGGTCACTGAGTAATACTAGTCACCCCCATGGTTCCTGTGTGGAAGGGGAGTACCTGCACGAGACCAGTTGAGACTTTAACTTTCTGACCATGGCAGGTGCCAGTGTGTGGCTGCGGTTCCTCCCCAGAGAGATTGGGGTCTAGTTGGGGAGGCAGGAGGAACACACTTGCAGCAGTGGGAATTGTTGTGAGAATGTGTACGTAGGTGATGAGCTGTGGTGGTGATGAGTCTTGTGAAGTTCAGAGAAAGGGGGTCCTTCCTGCCTAGCAGTAGTGAGGGAGGAAGTGAGTCTTGGGCCAGAGCATGATCAGCTGACAGGGAGGGAAAGAAAGAGAGGGTGTCCCAGGTGCAAGGGGAGAATTGAGCCACAGAGGTGGCCATGAGTGGATCAGTTCACCACAGCCGCATGGGTGAGGTCACAGAAGAGCCTGCTGCCATCGTAGACTTTTCTGGGAGTATTTGCCCTTATTTGAATTATTCATTTAAAATTGTTCCTCTGCCCTTGTGTTTTTGTGTCTCAATGCAGCACTCTGAACAACCCTGCTGACCAGATGGATGTCATCGGAGTGGGCGGCATTGACTTTGAGGACAACATCGCCCGCTTCTCCTCTCGGGGCATGACAACCTGGGTAGGTGGTGCTTCTTTAGTTGAACGTGCCTCCTGGGGTCACTGGTGTGAGAGCCAGGGTACAGCTGTCAGGGCACGGGGAGGGGAGGAGGAGTAGCCTGCGGGGTCACCCAGCCTTGGGGCAAGAGCTCCGGCCCCTTCGGCATCTGACCTCCAGCCAGTGCTGATTCTGACTGTTTTCACGGCTCCACTTTTAAATTTACTTCTAAGTAACTCATTATTTAGGTCAGTTGGATTCGTACCCACTGGTCCTAACTAGTCGAAAGGGGAGGAGCAGTCCTCTGTGCTGGGTAGGATGAGTTTTTAACCTTAAGAAGCAGGAAAAGCCAGTGAGAACAGTTTACTATCGACTCTGCTAACATGGAAATAACTGCATTTAGCTAGATGAAACGAAATAATGCCAACATGTTAATTAGTTCGGCTGCTTGAGGTTTAATTATGCAACGGACTTATCTTCCTTTACCCTCTGAGCAGAGCCTGGTTCACTGTGATGCTCCCTCAGGCCGCGCCTGGGCGCTGTTACCTGCTCTGCACCCCCTCAAACTCCCGGCAGGGGCTCTGACCCACCTGTCATGATCTCGGCTTTTATCAGAGCCTGTGTTTTAATGGCATTTTGAGCAATGTTCCTGAGTAATCTGCAGTTGAGCCGTCTTTAAATCAGTGTCCCACATATGTGGGTTCAGAGTCTGTTTATGTCTGATTGCCAAGAAGGATCTTTTTCACTTTTAATTGGTGTGCTTCTTTCTTACAGAATATAAGATTCTGTTGTAACTCATTTTGCCTCAATTTTCGGGAAGCTTAAGAGAGTACTCAATTAAAATCTTATCCCAAGTTACTTGTACAGTTATACTTACTGTTCCAAATCATTCTTTCCCCTCTGTAACAGACTGAAATATCCAGTCATAGTCATGTACTTTTTTCCCTGTAAAGAAAGGTGTTTCATTTTTTCTAATTTTTAATTTTAATTTTTGATTTTTCTAACATTTAAAATGTTCGAGTTACCTAGAAACCAGTTTGCACTTTTTAGTCTTGCATGTTAGCAAAATTAAAAATAATTCATTTTTCAAATGCTTTATAACATTACTATCCTGGTTATCATAAAACACACTAAAGATTATTTTTTTGTATTATTATTTAAGCTCCTCTTCTGAACTGCAGTGAATTTCAGACTAAAACCAGTACCATACTAAGGTTACACTATATTTGGATACCCACATTTCTATTCCGGTTTTATTCACTCGTAATTGCCCATGGTCGTGTGCTGTGGTAGGAACCACACTGCTGTCATTTATAGGAGCTGCCGGGGGGCTATGGCCGTGTGAAGCCTGATATTGTCACCTATGGCGCTGGCGTCAGGGGCTCTGGCGTGAAAGGCGGGTGCCGGGCCCTCTCAGGGACCAGCGTGGCTTCTCCAGTGGTGGCCGGCGCTGTCACCTTGCTGGTGAGGTGAGTGTTGCTCAACAGGGGGAGGTTTCATCAGCAGACCAGGCCGCTGGAAGGCTGCCAAGTGATTGGTCCCGAGGCAGGTGCAGGAATGAGCACTTCCATTCTCATCTTAATGGGCTTTCCTGGGGTAGCTCCTGTTAGATACAAAACAAGATTTTAGGGGTGTCATGTTTGTTTACCTACAGGTTAGGATAGTCTGATTTTCTTCTTTTACTGAGAGAAAGTGAGCAAGTACATGATTATTCCCCCCAGCACAGTCCAGAAACGTGAACTGGTGAATCCAGCCAGTATGAAGCAGGCCCTGATTGCGTCAGCCCGGAGGCTTCCTGGTGTCAATATGTTTGAGCAAGGCCACGGCAAGCTGGATCTCCTCCGAGCCTATCAGGTCCTCAGCAGCTACAAACCACAGGCCAGGTTGGTATGCTTGCCTTTTGAACAGGCCTTTCTCTTCTCTGCTGGGCTCCAAGGCAGGTTTTCCCTTGGCACAAAATGTTGGCCTCAAAACAACCAGTGCCTGATGTCACAGCACTCGGGGGTCTCAGGGAGAACTTCATGCTGCTGCTGCCACAGGGTGCCACTGGCAGGACTGCTTTCCACCTCCTGGTCTTCTGTTATTTGTCACATAAATGGTTGAAATAATTACTTCGTATTTCTTTTCACTTTCTTTTTTTAAGACAAAAATGTAATGAAAATTGGTCAATGTCTTTTTACTTTTTAAAACTTTCTTTTGAAATAATCTTAGGTTTACAGAAACTTCCAAGTGTAGAAGTTGTCATTCACCCCCTACTCTGCTTCCCCTAAGGCTGGCTCGTTAACTGGCCCTGTCTCCACAGCTGGAGCTGATAGGTGCACGCTGGTGCTGTGCGGCCACGAATCTGCATACAGATGCACAGCGGCCGGCTTCCCCCTCATGTTCTCCGTCTGCTCTGGGATCCAGGCCCGTTGTGGCGTGTAGTTGCCGTGTCTCCCTGATCTCCTCCCACCTCTGACGTCTTGTCGTCATTTGTGACTCTGAGTCCTCTGAGGGTGCTGGCTGCTTACGTCATTCATGGTCTCTTGATGTGCGTTTATTGATGCTCATGATTAGTGTGAAGTTATGTATTTTTGGCAAGAATTCTTTTTCAATTTTTATTTTGAAATGATTTTAGATTCACAACAGCTTTAAAAATGAGTACATGAGGACTCATTAATCCTTCAGCAGCTTTCCCTGATGTAACATCTTTCATAACCATAGCACATGCCTCAGAGTCTGGAAATCAGCATTGATCCATTATCATCGACTAACCTGCAGACCATGTCTGGAGTTCAGCCAGATTTTCCCCACCTCTGCCCTTTGCCTGGTCCAGGATCCAGGCCAGCATCCCACATTATATTTAGCAGTCGCATCTTCTTGGTCCCCTCCAGTCCTTTCTTTTATCGCTGGTGGTGTTCTTCTGCATTATTGGATTCGGGTGATGTCGGTCAGGATCTTCCAGGAGCAGACATGGGGTTAGAGAGATGTGTTGGGAGGAGGGGTACCTGTGAAGGATAAAGGGAAGGAGGCAGGACTCCCCTGCTTATCTGACACCTGTGAAAAGAGGAGGGAGGTGAGGAGAGGACCCTGACAATGCAGCATGGGTCTAAAATCCGTTTCTGCTCATGGGGAATCCCTGAATCAAAGTTGACTGTTAAGAGGAGCCTGTGTCTCTTGGGGCTGGGCCTGCCCTGGTGCCCTCTGTGCTTGGTCGGATGTGGTAGGGGGTGCGGAGATGTCCATCAGCCAGGCTCCGAGCAGGCAGTCTGGTACTATAGGTAGCTCTGCCAGGTGTCTCTGCTGCTGTCACCCTTTGTTCCTCTGTGACTGCTGAGTGTCTTAGAGGATGCACTTGAAGGTGATCTTGTTTCTTTACATACTTTCACTCACTGCATTTAGCATCTATTGATGGTTCCTGCCTGTACCGGTTATCACTCTAGAGATTGTCCCACAGTGACTTTCTCTCGTTGCTTCTGCATTTATGAATTGAAATTCTGCTGTGGGGAAGAGAGCTGACCTTCTCTCATTTATTTATTTATTCAATGACATCAGTATGGACACATAGATATTTACTTTACTCTGTAGATTGTGATCTAATAATGCCATTGTTTATTTCATTGCTCACTTTGCCCCAGATTTGGCTCTCTGGGGCTCCCTGTGGTTGGCTCCCGTGTCTTTCCAGTGTGTCTGTCAGTTGGGGAGCACTTTCTCACTTTTTGGCGGTATTTACATGCCCAGTGTTGGTATCGGTTCTTTGTCCAAGCAGCTGTGGTCTTCTCATTGGAGAGCAGGATTTAGAAACTGACACCTGGGGATGTCAGAGAGGGTGATGTTTGTGTGTAGTTCTTTTATCTTTAGCTTTATAGCGTATAGTCCTACTGTTTTCCAAAGTTACTTAATTTCTTTTCTTCCTCCCTACCAACCCCATCTGTCTGGTTTTGCTATTTATTTTCAATACAGTTGAGTTCATTTGTTCGTATTCTTGTTTCTTTCTGGATCCCTCCCCCATCCTGGTTGACTTCATCTAGTTATGTGTTGGGTTGTGAAACACTGCCATGGCTCCGAAGTCAGAACTGCACGCAGAGGATAGCTGGAGGGGCGTTGCTACTTCACCCTTCCTGGCTCTGTCCCCTCCACCCCCGTGGGTGACAGTCTCGTTAGTTTTTGATTTGTCCTTTTTGTATTTCTACCTGTTCTCTTACAGCCCCTTCCTTACCTGCAGGATAGCATTACTGTAGATACTCTTTTGTACTTTTTTCCTCTAAACAGCGTCCTGAAAGTCACTTTGAATCAGTTCATAGAGCTCTTCTTTCTCCTTTTTTTTTACAGCTTCAGAGCATGGAGATCATTGTTTTTTCAAGCACGTATCTATATATGGGCATTTAAATTGTTGCCAGTATTTTGTAATTGTGAGCTGCTTATGCCTGTATTTCATTTTTGTTGGCAGTGTGTCTTCGGGGAACGGTCCTAGAAGTGGGGGAGCCAGGTCAAAGCTGAGAGCAGAGTTTTGCCAGATGTCTGTTTCCCTGCTGTTTGCTTCCACAGTGATGTGGGTGCCTGCCTATTTACCAGAGCCTCCGCGACACACTGTCCTGTTTTGCTTTTTACTTTCTGCTAATCTGACACATGGAAAGTGATATCTCAGTGTTGTTTTAATTTGTATTTCTTGGGTTAAGAGTCAGTTTGGACATTTTGTATGTGATTAAGGCTATTTTTATATATTTTTTGTGAAAGGTCTCTTCATTTCTTTTCCCCAATTTTCTCAGAGGTTTTATCCCTTGGCTTTTTTTTAAGAGTTTTTTGTACATTAGGGTGAGTAACCCTTTACTGCAGCTGTTTCTCCCAGTTTGTCAGTTGCTTTTGACTTTGTGGAAGTGTTTTGGGCCAGGTGGTTTCTTCTTTTTTTATAACCAAGTTTGTTAGTCTTTTGTTGTTGCCATCCCTGGATTCTGAGGCACAGAACACCTTCTCTGCACTGGGGTGGAAGAGAGACTCACCCATATTTTCTTGTAGCACTTGTTTCTTTTATTTATTTGAGGCTCTCTGATCCATTCAGAAGTTATTCTTGAATATGGTGTGAGGTATGGATCTAATTTTAGCTTTTGCCGAGTGGCCACCCATTTGTCCCAGCTTCAGTTATTAAAAAGTCCATCTGCCCTGCCCCTGTGATTTGAAACCCTGAGTCCAGGGCTGTCCTCGCTGTCCACCAGCCACAACCACAGGGTTCCAGGCTGGCAGGAGGGAAGAGATGACACCCACATGTCCCCAGACTATGCTGGCTGGCCCGAAAGCCTCCTGGGTACAGGCAGCTTTCTGAAGCCAAGTGCCGAGCAGCCCTGGAGCAGGTCCTCTAAGGCTCAGGTCCACCACGTTGAGGCTTCCCTGCCGTCGTGTGGCTCTGTCACCACTTCCAGCACCATCTACTCCAGCACTGAATTCTTTGTTCCAGTTTGAGCCCTGGCTACATTGATCTGACTGAGTGCCCCTACATGTGGCCCTACTGCTCCCAGCCCATCTACTACGGAGGAATGCCCACCATCGTCAACGTCACCATCCTCAATGGCATGGGGGTCACGGGAAGGATCGTGGACAAGGTGAGACTGCCCTCTGGCCAGCGGTGAACTTAGATGTGGCCCAGACTTCCTCCTGCGGTTAAAAGGGACAGGTCCTCTTCTTGCCCGGGTGCCGGGGATTGGAAGCAGTGGTTTGTTTTCCCGAGTCCATTACAGGTAAGTCAGGGATAAATGACTGAAATCAGTTTGCTACTCTTTTACTTTGACATCTTGAGTTAGGCTCCTGAGTCAACTAATGACATTTGAGTCTTCATCTTTACAGTTTCCCATCTGTAATGAGAGGCCCACTCGTAATTATTTCACTGTGTAATGAGCACAAATGGGCCTTCAAGTTTAGAAGGTATGGTCTTTATTTGAATTTTGTCTTTATAACTTTTTTACATTCATTAGGTAAACATTATCACAACAATAAAAGGTAGGGGGAAAAACAGAAAAATGAATTTAGCCCCACACACTAACGGAGCCACTGTTTTAAAAATATTATTATTTCTCAGCCCTTATCTGAAATATGTATTTTTTGTTACCTTTGTATGGTAGGCAGAAGTTTAGTTTTTTTTTTTCAGTTCTCATGTTATAAACATTTAAAAACGTAACTATATATACAGCACCAATGTTCTTTTTAATGCTTGTTTAATGCTATATAGAATTGTTCAATCCTAATTTACTTACTATCCTTTTTTGAACAATTAGGTGGTTTTCTGTAGCTGTAAATATCTTACTGAATATCTTTGCATATATGGTTTTCTTTTCTTCTGAATTATTTTCTTATCATAAACTCCCTGGATTAGAATCCTGAGTAAGAGGTGTGGACATTATTATGGCTCTTGGTACAGAATACCAGATTCTTTCCAAAAGGAGAGTTACGTCAGCCCAGACTGCCACCAGTGGTAAACAGGGATAGTGTCTCTGCACTGGATAGTATGTCTTTTTTTCCCCTAATTCATGAGGTTTTAAAAAATTGAGGTAAAATTCACATACCATAAACTGCACCCTTTTAAATTGTGCAATTGAGTGGTCGTCAGTGTATTCACAAGTAGTGATGCAACCATGATTACCGTGTGATTCCAAAGCATTTGCATCACTCAAAAAAGAAATCCCTATTACCAGTCTCTTCCTATCCCTCTGCCTCAGCCCCTGGCAATTCCATGGAGTTACCTGTTCTGGGTGTTTCACACACATGGACTTCTATGTCACGTGGTCATTTGTGACTGAGCCTAGCATCTGTAGGGCTCATCCGTGTTGGACATGTACCTGTGCTTGCTCCTTCTTATGATTGAATACGGTTCACTGTCCGGATAGACCCCACTTTGTCAGTTGATGGACATTTGGTTTGTTTCTACGTGGTCCATCTTTTAGTGTTAAATCTATAGTTAAATCTAACGTTCAATTTAATGTATACTTTTTCAGTTGTTTGTAAGGTGGATGTCTGCACATTTGTTAACTGATTCCTCTTGGGTGGATTAGCTTTTCACTTTCTTTGGCCCATTTCTTATGAGCATTTAGATTGTCCCTGTCAGTCTGACACAGGATCTTTACATCGTAGAGAAATTAACCATTGTGTGTTTCATACAGAAAGATCTTCCAGATTATTGTTTTCTTGTCTCTTTAATATTAGAGGTGGTTTAAAAACTTGGGAGTGGAGGAAATTCTGTAAAAGTTTCACATTTTCATGTAGTTAAGTTTTCATCTTTTGTGATTTCTTCTTTTGTTTCAAAAATTAGAAAAGTTAGCCCTCCAGAAATATTTTTTAAAATCTCAATTTTATTTTCTCCTCTCTTCCCTTTTATGCTTGTTAAATATTTAATGTTTGTCTGTGTTGAGTTAATTTGATGTGTAGTAAAAGAGATGGATGAAAGTTAGCTTTTAGCTCAGGTTTTAGCCAGTGGTTTCAGAAGCATTTATTAAAAATCTTTTTCCTTTCTCTGTTTGTGATGCTGTTTTTCTTCTTTTTCACAGTTTTTTTAGTATGCTGACTGTTGGGGAGCAGATGATTGCTCTCTAGCTGGTGAGGGAAATGAGTAGTTCAGGTTAGTTTGAAATACTGGTTCGTTGTAAGAGCTGATGTGTGTTTCTTCCTGGTGGGGCAGGCTCCCCTGAGGCTCCGCTCTCCCCGATCCTGAAGCCTGAGAGACACGCCAGGTGGGCGGCCCTCTTCACAGTCTGGTCAGCTCTCCCTTGGGTCCTCCGCCGCACTCTGCCTGCCCAGTCTTGGGTGTCAGAATCCAATTGGTGACAGTCTGCGTCCATGTTGTTTCATTATTTTATTCTGTTCAAGCAATGTGATTCTTTACGCATGTAGCTAATTGAGATCTAACTCTTAAATCTGAGAATTTTCATTTATATGAGATCTCTATCAGATAAAATTTCCAAAGCCGTGTGTTCTGCCACCCCAGCCCCCTTTTTAAGCTTGGGGAAAAAATCCTCTTTAGAATTGGAGGCTGTCAGAAATGGTGTTTCTAGACTCTTCTTGTGGATGGTGGTCCAGACCATGTGCAGGTGGATTTGGTTATAGGTGGCTTAGTGTCCATGTGTCCACCTCATTTTGCCCTGTTCAGTGAGGTATTTCTCAACATTATGATGCAGGTAATTGGGGAACGGAGCTCCTCACCTTGGCCTTGGCTTGTTCTCTCCTGCAGCCGGAGTGGCAGCCCTATTTACCACAGAATGGAGACAACATCGAAGTTGCTTTCTCTTACTCCTCAGTGCTGTGGCCTTGGTCAGGCTACCTGGCCATTTCCATCTCTGTCACCAAGAAAGCCGCTTCCTGGGAGGGCATCGCACAGGGGCATGTCATGGTCACCGTGGCCTCCCCAGCAGAGGAGGAAGTAAGTGGGTGCCCGGAGGGGCTCGAGGGAAGGGGAGGGGTGGGCGGAATGCGTGGGGACTTGGATGTGAGGCGCAGGTGGTGGGCGTGGTGGGCTCTGGGCAGTGATCGGGGGATCCAGGCCTGGGGAGCGGCTGTGGTGACAGGTCACTCACTCAGTGAATGAGGTGCCAGATTTCAGTCTCAAAATGATTGCACAGAATTGGGTTAACCCTTTGTAGTCTAGTCGTTTTTAGGAGCCAGGTACCTTAAATTTGAAGTCAAAAACTTGAATTTTTATGGCATTATGATACGTGAATGTTCTTTCCTACCTTTGTTGTTATTATAAATTCTTGTGTTCAGGCAATTTGGGCTAAATTGATAAATAAAAAGTGAGTTTTCAAACCTGAAAACCTGGAAGTTTCTTCTGGACAAAAGAGACATTTCAAATTTCTTCTATTTTCAGTCCAAAAGTGGTACAGAACAGACTTCCACAGTGAAGCTCCCAATTAAGGTGAAGATAATCCCTTCTCCTCCTCGAAGCAAGAGGGTTCTCTGGGACCAGTACCACAACCTGCGCTACCCGCCTGGCTACTTCCCCAGGGACAACCTCCGGATGAAGAACGACCCTCTGGACTGGTGAGCACTGCAGCCCCGCCCCTCGTTCCTCAGCAGGACGCTCCTCCTCCTGCAGCCCAGACTCTGTCGGCTCCTGTCCCACTGTTGGGTGCCCTGCTGTTCTGTCTGACTTGTTCGGTTGTGCAGTGAAGCCATCCTTGAAGTCCTCCTTGGCCACCTCCCTACCCTGACTGCTGTTGGCTCAGTCAGCACATCCCATTGGGCCTTCTTCCAGACGATGGCAAGCCCTGCCGGTCTGTTCCGCCCTCCTTCAGCGGTCTTCGTCCCTTCCCAGGGGTGACAGAGCTTCCTGATGAGTCTCACTGCTGTCCTCACTCCCCCAAGTTCCGTTCTCTGTATAGCAGTCCTGGTAATTTTGAAAACCATGAATTCTATCACAGTTTGCTTAAAACTGCTGTGGCTGCCGAGCCAGACTTGGGGTGAGTCCTGCTCTCCCCTCCAGACCCCGTCTCACACGGCCCCTCACCCGAGGTTGCTGGGCTGACTTCCTCTTGCCCACACGCCAAGCTCATTTCTGCCTTAGAATTAAATATAAGAGTTTGGACTTGACACTGAATGTTGAGGGAGGAGGAAGCATGGAAGAACTTGGACAGGACACTTACAAGATCAGACTCACTCTTTATAAACAGGGTGTCTCTGGAAGGCAGATGGGAGGGGCTCAGACCACAGACAGGTGGACAGAAGGTGGGAAGAAGCTGTTGTAATGGCTGTGGACTCACAAGTGGCAGATAGGGGACCCTGGGAAGTTTCCGTGGGGCAGGTGGCCTACACAGAGCACACCACTGTGAAATGGCACGTTTGTGGGGCAGGGTAGACAGGTGAGTGGTGGCTGTGATGTGAAGTCATCTGTGCTGCTGCCAGTGGGTACAGCACACAGGGCACTGTGCCCCCCTCCCAATGTGTCCAGGGCAGGCGGTGCTAGCCTGTCACATGTGTGCCACTGCCAGAGTGGCCTGTCACACGTGTGCCTCTGCCAGAGTGAGGCTCAGTGTACTCTACGCAACATCGCTTTGGCCGTTTCTTCTCATTGTTTTATCTCCTTCATGCCTGTGCCGGGCAGGTGGTTTTCTGTTAGCAGCCGCTGTACATGCAGCCCAGGGAGAGCTGATCTGAAAAGCTGACGTCATGCTGGGGAGCTGGGCTGTGGGGCCTCTGGGGGTGACGTTGCTGCCCCTTCAGAGCCAGCCAGGTCTCAGAAGTCAGCTCTGTGGCTGTGGGGCTTTTATCTCGAGTGCAGGCTGATGGTCTTAGTGCCGGGCTTCCTGTGTTGCAGGAATGGCGACCACATCCACACCAACTTCAGGGACATGTATCAGCACTTGAGAAGCATGGGCTACTTCGTTGAAGTCCTTGGCTCCCCCTTCACCTGCTTTGATGCCAGTCAGTATGGTAAGTGATGGCAAGGTGCCAGCCAGGGAGCCCCACTCAGCGGGGTGGTCGTGGGGGGGTCATGGGGGTTAGGATCTCCTGGTCCCAGTGGAGGCCCAGACCAGGCTTCCAAGAGAGTGGCCCTTGTTCCTGACATTCAGCTAAAATCTGAAACTACCAGGACGGTTGGGGACAAGGACATTTGTATATTTTTGTCTTAATTATTTTTTTTTAATTAAAAGAAACTCTAGCAGGGGATTTTGCTTCTTTTCAGGTGAGTGAAACACCCTTATATTGGGCATCAGCAGTGAAACAGAAGGCCACGGCTGGCTGCTGTCTGTGAGCTGTGGGACCCTGGTCTTTTTTTTTCCACCCCCTTCTGAAGTGGATCAGGGGCACAGACCAAAATATTAGAAGCCAGTAACGAGATGTTGACATCAGTAAAATACCATGTTTCTGAAACAGTGACATCCTCTTGGTGAGGTGGTGGTTCTCAAATCTGGGTGCTTTGTCCCTCAGGAACTCTGCTTATGGTGGACAGTGAGGAGGAGTACTTCCCTGAGGAGGTGGCCAAACTGCGGAGGGATGTGGACAATGGCCTTTCCCTCATCGTCTTCAGTGACTGGTACAACACATCCGTGATGAGGAAAGTCAAGTTTTATGATGAAAACACGAGGTACTGATATGAACTGATATTTGGATAAGAAATTTGACTTTATTGGAGTTGAATTCTATCCAGGGAATACTTAAACTGATCGTTTGACCCGTTGGTGGTCTTTTTGGCTGTTAGAGACAGGTTTAGACGCCTGGTTAAGGCAAGCTCTCTCTCCATTGGTCGAGATGTTCTTAAAAGTGGCTTGTTAAGTAAGGAAACTGCATGTTGGTTCTAGTAGTAACGGAAACAGTTCATTGTCCCTGTTGATCTGAGACACTTGAGCTTTAAATTTCTATTCTTTTCCGTTCTTCTCTCTCTCCTTTGTTGAATCTCTACACACTTAAATGCACCAAAGGAACTGTCATTTAAAAAACCTTGCTGTTAATTAGTTATCGATGAAGAATCCCCGGTGTGTTATGAACATGTCATCCGTATGGTACGAGTTCTCTCTTTAGAGTCTGTACTTGAACTTCATAAGCTTCTTTCTTACCCATCTTCCTTCGCTGACCGTCTCAAGGTCTGGGCTCTGTATGCCGCACGTTTATGTTCAGTGTGCTGCATTTCATGAAATAAGCTGAGCTTTGATTTACTCTGTACACTGGCTGGAGCATTTACGTTGCAGTATTAATCACACCCAGTTAGTTTTAGCTGAAACCTCTTGTGGACCGAGTAGACTGGCAGGAGAAATCAATTTTGTTGTGAAAAGGGTAGGCGTGTATAGGATGCTCTTATCCGTCATTGACCCCTCATCACTTCTACAGGCAGTGGTGGATGCCGGACACCGGAGGAGCCAACATTCCGGCTCTGAACGAGCTGCTGTCAGTCTGGAACATGGGGTTCAGTGATGGCCTGTATGAGGGGGATTTCACCTTGGCCAACCACGACAGTAAGGTTCTGTGTTGGTTTTTAATAGGGCTCATCTTTCCAAGAGGTGGGCAAGCAGAAGCGTGTGTCTCTGAAGTCCAAGGTTCAGAACATGAAGCAAGGAGGGTCCACGGAGAGACCTGCTCAGGGTCCTCACAAGGGCACCTGTAAAGCTGGGTATTAACCCTGGTTCTGTCCAAACTTTGAAAATGAAAATACTTCGTGCACACATTCCTGATTTTAGTGCCACCTGTAAGGTTCTTTATACTGTTTATATTCCCAAATAGGAAATAGCCCCAGGTCCCTGATTATTCATAGAATTCTATTTATGGAATAACTTTGCATATCTCATCTAAGTTGTCCCCTCCCTCGCCCCCAGGTTCTTTTTGGTGAGTGGTTTCTAAAACATCTGGAGTGTTTTTGCCACTAACTCTACACGTCCTGACAGCTCTGACTTCTGAAACCTTACCCAGAAACCTTAGGTTAATAGCATTTTTTAGTTTGAGTTTTGAGGTGGTTACTTGTAGTTTTTGTGACCAGGCAATGTAGCAGCTCCTCTCTTAAAATTAAAAACAATTTTAGAAAATACATAATGTCTAAGGAATGCATCTTCGGTAAATGAGTAGCTGCTGATGAAAGTGTTCAGCATGGCTGGGTTCTAACTGTGAACAACTGTTCCCTAGTGTACTACGCGTCAGGGTGCAGCATTGCGAAGTTTCCAGAAGATGGCATAGTGATAACACAGACGTTTAAAGACCAAGGTAAAGGATTACTGTTCATACACTTTTTGGTTTCCCTTTTTCTTGCTTGCTTGCTTGCTTGCTTCCTTCCTTCCTTTATTTCAAAAAGAAACCCCGTATGCATTAGTGGTTTGGATTTTTAAAAACCTTATTTTACTGTTGGTATTGTACCTACTTTAAGTGAGACTTCTGTGTAGTGGCTCTGGGGGATACAAAGACAGGCAAGACAGTCTCTTGTTGATTATTTGAATATGTGTATAGTGACCACTGCAGAATAAATTGAATTTCCTACAGGAGAAGAGGAGCTTTTGCATACTTGCAGCTTTTTTTTTAAGCTACTTTCAAAGTTGCTTGAAATTTTTGTTAGTGCATATTAATTGTTCTGCTTCTGTGATTGCCAGATTACCAACATTTTAGGAAAAATGTTGACTGTGTTTTGAAGTTCTTAACTGTGTGAAGAGAAAGCATATTTGAGAGTGATTTCCTAAGATTCCCTGAAGAACCAGAAGGGAAGAAAGTTCTTCTCTTTCAGTTTTGCTTCTTGGACTACAGGCAGGCATCACCTAGGAAGGCTGATGATGCTGCGCCTCCTCGTATCAGTACCTGTAATGCTGCGCTGGGTGCACAGAGCAAAGCAGGGTGCTGGGGAGTTGGGCACCCCAGGCTGCCTCCACCCTTCCCGGAGGTGGTGGCCGCTCTCCTTCCTGCCCAGGACAGTCTCCTGCAGCCCCGCTCCAGAGTCGGGGTTCCACACCATGTCTCTGTCATCTGCACATGCTGGGAGGCTGTTCCATGACCAGCATGAGGGGCTCATGGATATGCAGCATTCATTTCCCCGTGCAAGCTATTTTGTGTTTCAGAATGGAAGGCCCCCTGTGTTATACAGGTTGTCATTTTCTGTAACTGGAAATTAGGAATGGTTTCATGAGTTAAAAATGACTAGAAGACAGGATTTCTCACTCATCTGTTGGCCTGTGTGAAGTAGAATTTATTACTATGTTACCTGGAAGGGGCGCTCTCCTTCCAGTCAAGGCAAAGTAATAACGTTAATAAGCCATTCTGTATTTGCAAGATTGTATTTTAAGTTTGAGCACACAGATGAAACTGTTGTCCCTGCCGCGTGGCATGGTTTTCCATGCACTGGTGATTCTTCCTGGGATCCCTGGCTCACAGGGTAATGTCATCTCCAGGAATACCCTCGGGGTGCAGGCAGTGGTCTCCTTGTTGGCTTGTTACCATCTGGCAGCCCCTCGTTTTGGAAGGAGAGAAACCAGAAGTAGACTCGAGTGCATATTTATTTTGTTGTTCTGCTAGTCTGAAAGTAAAAATTAATTACATTGGAATTCTTTTTAAGGGGCTTTTTATTTCTGAACAGGGTTTAAGTTGAATAATCTTTTGGGTACGAAATAGGAATTTAAAAATCTGGGTTATGCCAGATCAAAAAGGACCCTATTGTCAGAAACAAAATTCTGTCAGACCACGAGGCCAAGAGGCAGTGCTGTGTGCTCCCCACCCCACCATTTCCTGCTCTATCTCCCGACAAAGGAAATCTTGTTTCCTTTCCCACTCAGTTCCTGGTGGTATTATACGCAGAGGGCAGGAAGTGCTGCATTTTTATAGTCACAGACTTTTTAGGATATTACCAAAGCAGTGAATCCCGGGTTCTGGTGGATGATGTGTCATCTCCTAGTGTGAGGAGCACTTTGCCTCCAGCATGGAGACTCCTTGGGTCTGTGACGATATCACTGGCAGGTGCTGCGTGGTTCTGGGCACTGCTGACTTGTTGATCCATTAGACATTGTAACTGTGTCATCTGGGCAGAGGTGAGGTGGCTCTGCTGTTGGAACATTTGGACTGTATTCATGAAATTAATGTAGCAATTTCTTAAATCTAAATTTAAAAATTAAGTATGGTTGTCCCAACTTTTAATGATAAACCATGCAGCCTGGGCATCAGTGTGTGGCTGTATCTGTGGAGGTACTTGCGTGTTGAGAGGAGCTTCCTGGCTGGTTGCCCTGTGTGTGTGCTCCGGAGACAAGCCTTTCAGGAGGATGAGGAGGGACAGAGAGGGAGCAGTGACACCTTTAGGATCATAAATACTGTGCCTCACCATTTCAAGTGAAAGTGGGATACGTGAATTTCGCTTCAGCCCAACCCAGTGGTACTTTATATGGTGTTTTCTTGTCCTAAAAGTTTGCGCTGTTGTGGTTGAATATTAGATTCTGCTGTGATTTTTTTTTTTGGTCCTATAGACAAAACGTCAAGTTAAGGGACAACTGGAAAATCATTCTTTCCTCACCAGAAATTCTCATTGATGTTTTTGTTGTGTTGTTTCAGGATTGGAGGTTTTGAAGCAGGAAGTGGCAATGGTTGAAAACGTCCCCATTTTGGGACTGTATCAGATTCCAGCTGAGGGCGGCGGCCGGATTGTGCTGTACGGAGACTCCAATTGCTTGGATGACAGTCACCGGCAGAAGGGTGAGAAGTCGGGGAGCGGCTGAAAAGTGTAGGGCTTTGTGGCCCCAAGGTTCATGGCCCTTCCCTCCTTGTTCCCTAACTGCTCTGATGAGATGCTGGTAAATAGACAGAGGCCGCTCCGTTGGCGCAGCTGCTCTGACTGCCTGGGGTGTTCTGATAGCTCTCAGTCCAGCGACTGATCAGCAAAACAAATGTGCCTTCCCAGGCTGTGCTGTCTTCCTCTCTGCACTCTTTGTTCTGAGGCTGGCAGGTGCCAGGATCGCTGTGTTTGAGTGGGGAGACCCTTGGCCCGCAGACGGGGTTTCTGCCCTCCTCGGTGTCCCCCTCTGGAGTCCGGGTCCCCAGCATTGCCCTGCGGGGTCGGCACTTGGCACTCCTCCCAAACTTGGAAATTTTGGCTGTTAAGGGGGCGTTTGGTATCATTTCTGGGTGTAAGGGGGAGGCGGGGGATGGGGAACTAGTCCTTTGCATCCCTCCTCTTTTTCAGCATCTCTTGATGCATCCTTCAAATTTGGGGGTTTGAGCTTGGACCCAGACTTCTCTTTTTCTTGTTTTGTAAAGGAGGAATGGAAAGTATTCTGTCTGTGCCTGGTGAGATGAAGACAGGACCAGGACCAAAACCTAGTCTTCTAAGTCCCGGGAGGACTGGGGGCAGGTGGGGAGTCATCCTCATATTTGCAGATGGTGATCAGGCTTAACTGGAGGCAATGAGGCTGCTCGAGCAGGAGCTGGGAGTCTGTGGGGCACCTCTCTCTCTCTCTCAATGTCTCTCTTTCTCTCTCAGTGTCCCACTATCCCCTCTCCATCCTCCTCTCCCTTTCTCTCTCTCATGTGAAGGTTAAGTGACTAGGTCTTAGAGTTTCACGTAAATTCTTAGAATATGATTGGTCTTTTTAAAAATCAAAAGTGATGGTTAAAGTCACAGTTGAAAGAAGATTAGTGTTTCATTTCTTCAGAGACTGTCTTTTAAGACCTGAGATCTCTAGTGAGAGTCTTTATTAAAATGGTCAATGCCTGAGAGACTATCCTGGTCCTTAAATGTCACGTGGCCTCATGGAGCAGCTTTCAGGGCTTTGAGCCCTTGACCAGGGTGCTCTGTGGTGAGACATGTGCTTCCTGGTGTCTCCTCTCTGGGTCTTGCTCTGCCCCAGCTGGTGTTGATGGGATGGGGAGTGGCGGATGCAGGGAGACAGGTGAGAAGCAGTGACCCCAAATTTAAAGTCAGTGCGGCTCCTCAGTCCCCTGATAGGGAGGGCCCATCTGTATGGCTATGATGAGGGCTGTTGATCACTGCCCCACACCTAGACTCCCTGTGAAGTCCCCCTGACATAACTGGCCACCTTCTGCTCTTGTCCTTTGTGTTGGGATTCACTGACTCAGGGCAGCCCAAACTACTGGACTCTGCACTTGTGTTGATCTTGAACCCACCTCCCTGTGGTGCATGCACAGTGGCCTGGCTATGCCATTGTGCTGAAGATCTAGCTCCTTCCCCCAGGACACCTCCAGGCGTTGGTGGGAGCTTTGCTGCCCCGTTCTCTGGGTGATGCTTCTCTCTGTGGTGTCGCGTGGCCCCACTGTCCCTGAGTGAGCCCTGTCTTTCCATCAGTGAGGACCCCAGAGCCCAGTGGCGCCCGGGCAGCTGTTATGCCCAAACCCTGGGCCTGGAGTGAAGCCCGTGGTCCTTGCAGGCACCACTGACCGGGAGAATGCATGTCACACGAATAGGGGTGGACTTTGACCTCATCTTCTCACGTCCTGTTCTCCCCTTGTTGGAGGCTAACTTGTATTGTCATGTAGCGATTGTCTCAACAAAGTCTAGTTCCTTAGCAGTGTGTTGTTGAACCTGCAGACTGCTTCTGGCTGCTGGACGCACTCCTTCAGTACACTGCGTATGGGGTGACGCCCCCCAGTCTCAGCCACTCGGGGGATCGGCAGCGCCCCCCCAGCGGAGCAGGCTCGGTGCCTCCGGAGAGGATGGAAGGTGAGTGGCCGCAGGAGCTGGCCCAGGCTGCTCCAGGATGTCATCCTGTCCACCGGCAGGCGGAGCCGATCTGCAGAGCCACCACTGAGCTCTCTGGGCACCTGCAGTGGGCGGGGATCTCGGGGAGCAGGGCCGAGGGCCCACCCCGCTACTCAGGTGGTGCTGTCCCACTCAGACCAGACGAGTTGTGAGCGCCTGGGCTCCTAGGGAGAGCAGCTGGCATTTTGGAGCACTCCCTGGGTACCAGGCACCGGGCCACCCGGATTACTTTCTCAGGCCTTTCAGAACCCTGTGAAAATAGGTGCTGTTTTTTCTGGTTCTCAGAAGAAGAAATGGGAGCCGAGAGGTTAGTGATCACTCAGGTCGCCTAGTGGGGGACCTCTGGGTGGTCACTCAGCAGAGCCTGGTGTGCGAGGCCTTGAGGCTGGGTTCGCATCCCTACAGGCTGTCCATAGCAGTGCAGTGTGAGCTGCAGTGTAGTTCTGTGTCCCCAGTAGCCACATTAAAGAAGTAAAAGGAAACACATTCATAGCAGTAAAACTCTTTAGCCTAGGTCACCGAATATTATGTAACATTCTGTGACACTCGCCCATTTCAGTTGCTCAGTAGCCACGTGTGGCCAGTGGTTACAGTGTTGGACAGCACAGAGCTAAGATATAAAGGAAATGTTGAAAATGCAGATTTTATTTTTGACCTGAGAAG